TGGAAAGGGGATTGGGCACAAAGAAGGTGCCAAAGTGGAAAAAGATGGCGTCGGGTCCGAGTAACGGGAAGGGGGGCGAAGAGGGGCTCCAGGTTTCCCAAGGTTTTGTGCCGACCGAGCGTGCGGAAGATTTGACAAAGACTTGGGAGAAGCTGAAAAGCTTGAAGGAGAAGAAACTCTCGTACGAGTCCTATCTTCCAATGAGTTGTTTGAAGAGGCCGCCCCTCGTGAATGAGAAAAGACCGTTGGAGGTGCCAGAGTTAGACGAGGATCATGTGCAGTCCATCATGGACTCCATGCTGAAACATCCAACTGGGGATCATCTTCCCTTCGTCGGCCTCATCGACCCTGGTCAAGCCAGTCGCAAAGAAGAGGTGGATCTAGCGGCGCTGAGAAATGGCCACTACGACATTTTCGTCCTTGGTGGCAACCACAGTCGGGAGGCTAGGGAACAGTTGGCATGCATGAACCCCGACAACGACGACTACAAGCAATGTCTGCTATGTTTACGTTGGCCTCACGGTCGACGAGGCGAGGCAGGTTGCCCACATGCACAACCTCGCCGCCGGCTACCACCGGGACTATAGCTTCATCGAGAAGCTCGGGTGTTGGCGACAAGTCTTTGAGTGCATGGGGTCCGTCAAGTCGGCAGAAGTTAAACTTTTTTACCTGAAAGAAGCTATGATTCCGAACGCGGCGAAGAAATTGGGAGCCCAAGATGCCTTGCTGCAGTGTGCTTTTAAGCCCAAAGAAATTTGGGACCTCATGTGCAAGATAATGAATATGTGGCAGAAGGGTGAGATCAAAGGCCAGAAACTGAAGCCGGCAACGAAAAACATCCTGAAATCGGATCAGGATCTGGAATCGAGCGAGTCGGAGGACGGAAAGAAAAGCCAGCGTGGGAAGAGGCTTGAAAGGGCAGCTGCGAAGGAGCAAGAGATGGCGCTTTTGCACCCTCAAGTGCAAATGCGGGGTAGCAAAGTCCCCATGGTCGCCGACGACATGCCCGCGCAACATTGGATAGCCATGGGTAGTATGGCTCAAGAGCACGCCGTCCCTATCCTCCTTGAGATGGAGAAGAAGTTCCAGCTTGTCAAGCAAGTCGCGTACGTCTGCAAGGCCTTCGCAGTGGGGGTGGGTTGTGCTGACTTCAAGGAGGCCGAGAAATACTATCCTCTCCACACGAAGAAAGACATGTTGGAGAAGTTCGTCAGTGGCGTCAGGAGGGGTCAGAAGAGTATCCCCGCACTGGATGGCTATATTAAAAGGGCTTTGGACTGGAAGAGTAAGGAGAGGAGACTGCAAGCAAAGGAGGATCTTCACGCGTTCCGTTCGACACCTCTCACGGAGCCCTTCGTCGACACGACGGAGGTGAAACATGAGAACGATGCGGCGAAAGTGAAGATTATCAACAGCGACATACGCCTGCTGTTTAAGCTGCAGATGGAGAAGCTGCCAATATCTCTAGCGATTTTCGACTTCCCTTATGGCTTCGCACACGAGGGACATGCGTCTGATCATGAGCTGTTTCCGGAGTCGGACGTTCTGGAGGTTCTTCAGAATCTGAAGGACGTGTCTAGTGCCCCCTTGTGGACAGTTGCGGGATTCTGCTCAGTGGACATGCTTCCTTCCATTCGCTCCGCGCTCCGCATTCAGAGAAGTTTGCAATGCAGGGTAGGAGCTTTTGACGTGGTGCAAGCCCAATGTGATGAATCCCGGTGGGCCTCAACTTGTGAGTGTGACGGAATTCTGTGTGCTGGGCTACTACAGCCAGACTGGGCAGCGCGAGATGGCGCACTGCAACTTTGATCCTACGGATCCGCGTCACTACTTCCAGCTCTTTAATGTTGTGACGCAGAAGTACCAGCACCCTAGCTGCAGTGTCCTCTGCCCGTACCAAAAGCCGTACAGTTTGTACTCCTGGCTTGTGAAAAAATTTTCTCCTGCGGGGGCCTGCATTCTAAACGGTTTCTCCGGCTCTGGCACAGGCGCCATTGCGTGTGTCAAGGCGAATCGGAATTGCCTCGTGGTGGAGATAAACACAAAGTGCGCGAAGGGCATCGCGATGAGGCTTC